TTTTTTTGTCTTTCAGATACACCTGGACCTATACCTGGACCTACCATTCTGTGTTCATCTGTCTCTCCTTCCTGTCCTCTCAACCAGCCGGTCAAAGCAGATGGTCTCTTGTCCTGAGCTGGTTCTGCTGGAGGTTTCTTCCTTTTAAAAGGGAGTTTTTCTTTCCACTGTTGCCACTGTGCTTGCTCAGGATGGGAGACTGCAACGAAGCCAAGATTCACTTGTCTGCTGGATTCCTTAGATAGAGAACTTTACTAATTGGCTTTTATGTGAATGTTTCTGTAAAGTGCCCTGAGACAACTTTGTTGTGATTTGGTGCTATATAAATAAACTGAATTGAATTTTAAAGCAGTCACTGCAGATGAGTGATTGTCAGTTTCTGTAAGATTTCTGCAACTGGAGCAGGTATTTCTGTTTACTGGTTAACTTCCTCAGCTGTCTCACATTTTAAGGATCAATCCTACTCCATGTTTCAGCTCCTTTCATTGATCAGGACTGTAGTGAACTTAACCTGATGTCAAAACTGACCAGATGGACAGAAACTGTCATTTCATTGATTTGAATCCAGAAATACAGTTACACCCATCCTGAGACTCTCTTTCTTGAAAATCAAGTGAAAGAACACTCTCTTTTTATTATCATTACTATTTTACAAATGTTGATAATCAAAGTGTCTTAGTTCAAACCATTTTAGATGTTGCAGTGAACTAATCAATTTTATTAACTGTGAAACAGTGTAATGATTTTTAATGCTTATGCAGAGTTAAAATTCATGTTAAGGTCTGTTACAGATTTTTATGCATTTTCTGATTTCTGTCTTTGAATGAGCAAGTGTGCGTTTTCCAAGGTCAGGAGTCGAAGCAGACATGTGTTGGAACAACTGTCTTGTTTACATCCTCTCAGACGTCAACGGAGGAGGTGGCACCTGTTTCTAAAACTCGCCAAAACAAAACTCTCTCTGTCTCTGAGAACAGTTTAATCTGTTCCATAACAATTCTTGCTGTTTTCTGACTTCTAGTAACCTCTTACATCACAAAACACACCCCTGTCTGGTTGATATTACCCAATCAGGGACGCTCAAATGAACCGGGAATAGAGCTCTTTAAAATGCCGGTACTTCCTAGTTCTCTCAGAGTCTGAAAAGTTCAGTTCGGTGAAGCTTCTGAGGAGTGCGGTGAGGCGCTGAGAAGTCGTTTGGGAGAACAGAAGTCCAGCATGATAAGGCTCCTCCGAGTTGGATTATAATATCCTCCACCTCTGAGTGGAACTTCTGAAGGACCCCACTCATGTGAAGTCTATTGCTGATGTGAGCTGGTGTCGGACGGAATCTCGTCACTACTTCGGACGAGTCACAGCCATCCTATGGAGACGCTGGACAGGTAGCGTTAACTGGACCTCCATATCTGCTGATTAATCTTCAGAAAGGTAATGAGTCAAGTTTCCTACCAAAGCGTACCGAGGAAAGCTGGGTTCTGATGGAGAGTGTCGGTTCTGGTCAACACTTCCCCTCACATACCATCTTTTACTCCCTTTAAACTTCATTTCCATCTTTAAATTCTTCTCTCAAGTAGAAATCCTTCCAGATATTTTAGAAATGTCTGTGTAAAGTGCTCATCCACCGCCGTGTGGATAATTGATCATAATTGTACAGTTTTCATTGATGTCTGCTGTTCTGCTGAAGAGTGGAAACAATCGCCGAATTGTTTCTCACTACCTGTAAAGCTGTTAATTATGTTGTTATTTTCATATTTTGCCAAATTAATGTAAATGTTTGATGTTAAACTTTGATTCTGTAAAATAAATGACCGCATTCATTTTGATGGGTCAAAGATAAATGACGTCTCACGTTTGCATTTCATTAACATCAATGCACGTTTTATTCAGTCCAGAAAAATGAGGAATCCGTTTTAATTGATGAATATTTCTCAGCATCTGTTCATCTACATTTTGGTGGCCCGTACATTCAAGAACTTCTAAAGAGAACATTTTGTTTTTAGCTTTTGTTTTGGGCCATTATCTCGTCACAGGACTCATGATCTTTGAGACCAGACTTTTTGACAAATGGAGAAGGTTTTTCTTCAGATGCTTCATATTTCATTGTACCCAGACCACACTCAAGCCAACCTGTGTCAGGTGCAGCTACAAGCAAGAACTAAAGAGAATCTTCTCGTGTTTGATAGCAAATATAATGCTGTTTCTTAGAAACCTTCAGCTTTAAAAAAGAGCTGACAAAACTCACCTAAAGAGCAGCAGATACAGTTAGCCAATCAGTGTTTGTCCTCTAAAAACGCCCACTTTTGGTCTGCAGAGAACCCTTCTCCCGCTCTCTGTAAGGTCTTTCCTCTGGGCTAAAAGCTCAGCTAATAACATCCTAACAACAAGTTAAAGCTGGATTGTGGATAAGAGTCGACAGATTTGATGCCAAGCGGGACCGCTTCATCTAACAGCTCCACACCGGGCACTGAGTGGACCAGAACCGAGCAGACAAAGTCGGACTTTACCTCGTGATAATCAGTAGCTGATTTACAGCAGGTAAATCAAATGTTCTTAATAATGTTTGCTTGTGTTTACTTCGGTTACAAAACAACCAACTGCGTTTTTATTTGTATTTTTTCCTGAAAGAAGAAGAAGCTGTCCTTCCACCAGAAGGACCGGTTCTGAACGAGGCTCGGCCCAGGTGCAGTGCAGGAGGACGTCCGAGAGAGTGATGTTGGATGAACTATTTATTTAAAATTCCCCTCAGTTCTTTTATTCAGTCCATTTAATGTTTTAAGCTGCATTAATCAAATGAGTGACAGCCTGAACGAGCCAGATGAACAACGTGGGACCAGTATATCCAGGATGAAAACAAGAGTCCAGTTCATTAATGTAGTTATAATTCAGGTAATTTGTTTTTAATTGTGTGTTCAGTTTAATTATCAGTGTTTGTGTGACATACAGTTTGTGGTGTTTAATAAATAAATAAAAACTAAGCCTGATGTCTTCATTTTCAACTTTAACAACACACAATATGTTTAGCATCATTTTAATCACATAATTTGAATTACATAATGTCCAGATAGCTTCATTTATCTCAGAGAGCTTCATTATATATCTCACACTGTTCATTAGGCCCAAGCAGTGAAGCGCTGCAAAGGCCTATTGTAATCGTAGTGTTTATCATTATGATTCTCCTCTGCAAAGAAGTGACTATTTGGAGGGGTTAACATATTGGAAACCTCACCAAACTTTACCCAAAATTGTCCCCCGTGAGAAATTTTAGTATTTTAATAGAATCAAAAGTGAGTGTGGCCAAACTGCTCCACAGCGCCCCCAATGTGAGATAGGACAACTGGTAAGTTGTAGAGAGCTGAAATTTGGTACATAGTTAGAACCCACTGAAACAAGAAAAAAAGTATCTTGGAGGTATGCCCTAAATCCAACAGGAAGTCGGCCATTTAGGGCCAAAGGGTCATTTTAGGACATTTTTCACTTTTCAGACATGGCGAATTTGAACGAACTCCTCCTAGGCTCAATCACTCTCAAACTTGGTCATTTTGGTCAAAAGGCATATATATAACTTTCAAGTTGAAAGACAGAATTAAACCAAACTTGGCATGCGTCATCTCTGTCGGATGCCCGACGATTCTCTGTGGTCATATTCTGACATTATCAAAAAGCCCCGCCCCCTCAAAACAGGATGTCGCTTTTTTTGCTTGGAATGCTCCCTCTCTGACACCCTTGACCGAATCAGGATGATCCTGTGTTAGAAGACATACAAACCGGATTCCAAA